TATCTCTGATTCCCATATTCTTCTTTGTTTTTCTGGGCTCTGTGATTTTAGGTGAGCGTGAGTCACTCATGCAGGTCTATATATAGAGGCCCAGGCATAGCTTAGCGGGCCGCATTCAACATTGCCAGTAGCCCAGCTCCACACACTTGGAGCAAGTAACCAGTGGGCTCGGAGTCTGCTAAACCTTACTGCGGCTGACGTATCAGACTCCAGATTTGGCTCAGTTAAATTATGTCTCCGACTATGACAAATCATGAATAATACATTTAAGTACCATAAGACAAAGATGAATGATTCATGCGTGTGTGTACATTGCACCTGCATAAAGAAACTGCAACTGCTGGATGAAAACCACAACTAATTGCTGTGAAAGAGTGATTCCCGAGCAGAGGTGCGTGCACCTCAGGGGACACCTAAGCGGGTTACTGTAAGATTGTAGTTTCTTATACCTGTAGGAGAGAATTTAAAACCTAAAATATTCGAGCTGTAATAAATTGGTTAAAACAATACGTGTGGTTTGACTTCAAGAAAAATATGAACTATTGCTCATGTTTGGGTTCACTAAGATTTTTTATTTTATTTTATTTTTCAGAAATGATGCATTGAAATGATCAAAAGAGACAGTAAAGACGTTTACGTTGTTACAAAAAAAAAGACAAATGTAAAAAAAAAAATGCTGTTCCTTTCTTTATAAAATAAAATTTATCAAAGTAAAATTGGGGAAAAAATGTATTGTGGTATATCCACAGAAATGTTAATTAGCAACAATTAAACAACATTTATAATAATACATTTGATCACCAATTCAGTATATTAGAATAATGTCTGATAAAGGGAGTTAAAGGGAGCTGAAAAATGACATTTTAACATAAATTAAAATAGAAAACGATTACTTTAAATTGTAATGATATTTCACAGTATTATTGTTTTTAATATATTTTTCATCAAATAAATGCAGCCTTGGTGAGCGTAAGATACTTCTTTCCAAAAGATTTCATAAATACAGAACGGTAGTGTTTGTGTATATACACTATTCCCAAAAATGCACAGAACATGCAAACGTAATATTTACATAATATAACAATCACTCTTTCAATTTGAGAAATTAATTTCATGTATTTCTGAAAGAGGTTTTTGCTGCTGGTGCCCTTCTCATTCACATTTGTACAAATGATGATGTATTTTGTTCATGGGTGATATTTCATACTGGTTGAGGGTTGAAAGATAATAAACAAATGTCTTGAATTTAGTTAACGCCTTGTGGATTTTGTTTATGAATGAATTTGTTGTTAGGTCTTTTCTCAGTCGATTGTCAACTTGTGGAAGACCTCATTATAATAATGATAGATTTCAATGTGAATATAAAATGAATTAAGAGCAACACATTTCTAGTTGATGTTTTTTAAAGCATATTTGGGCTTTTCTAATGAGGCTGTGGAGACACAAAAGTTTCGAATGCAGAGAAAACCCGAGTGGACTTGAGATTTCGGCACCATGGACAGTCAAACTGGTTCAATCTGTGAGACTATGTTGTGATATTGCCATCTGTACTTCCATCTGTCTGTTATGCAGGTCCCATGGCTGGATAGTTGGCAATGCAACTGCTCATTTTAATCTTGCTTTCTTCGATGAGCCTGCTCCTTATTTCTAAATGTACAAATCCATACAGGTAGCCATGAAAATATCCATACCTCTCTCTGCTTAAATGATATGATAATAAAAATTTGAAACCAGTGGTTTATTTACAACAGTCTTCCAGAACAGTACAACCAAAATATTGTGCATATTTCGGAGGACTGTTTGCACAAAGGCTGATGCTAAAAAGTGGGGCAATTGACCCTTCGTTAAGTCCCGCCCTCCATAGTTACTGTTGCTACGCCTGTCAAGCTTTCACGCCTGGCACGTCTATTTCAGTGTGTATGCACCGGTGTCAGACATTTCCAAGGAGATAATTACTAATTTTTGGTGAACATGTGAAATATTTGAGAGAGCCAGACTAAAGGGACTACAGTATGCATTCGAGGGATATATATTCACGACATAATATGCAATCGAGTATAGAATAATTTCATAAAATTTGAAGCTAAAGCCTATCGTCCCGCCTCATGCGCTGACCGTTCAACTGGGAAACACAAATTGAGGAACAGCTGTGTTCGTGCACAGCAGGGTAAGTGAATGTGAAAATAATCTAATATTTATAAATCAAACTGCTTATCCGTAAATCTTGTGTAATAACACTAACACCGGGAGAGCCGCGATCGGATTGGGTTAAAGTTACTCAGTCAGGAGCAGGCCGTCGATTAACAAAACACTGAAATATATTTTAAAGTGTGTCAGTGAGCCTGAAAGTATTCCTGCTGTTATTATTTTTGATGCTGAAATTATATTCCCATTAAAATATAATCTTTTTTTGTTCAAATATATGAAAAAATACTTGAATTTTCACGGAGCTACAGTATAAAGTACATTATACAGTTAAACTATTTGCACAACAATCCAGTATTTATGATTACTATAATAAATTAAAATAATTTGAGAACAAAAATGGCTAAAATACGGTGAATATAATGTGCTGTGGAATGCATACTGTTTTCAAAAAGTTTGTAAAAGTTTGTAATGAGCAGGGATTTGGTCTGCTATTCTCCGGCAGTCAGAAGAATCTGGGTCAGGGTGCTGGCGGATTAGAACTGACTCTTTCCAACTCTCAATTCTTGGGAGAAGATTTGGACTCAGCCTCTTTCTTTCTTTTTTTCTTTTTTTTTTTTTTTTTTGTCTTCCTCATCCTCAATATTTTCTTTTCGAAATGTTTCTCTTAAAGGGCATATTGCTGGTTAGAGGACCCAACGAGTCAATGTATGTGAAAAATAATGTAAGAACTAGATTTTATTTAAAATATACTTATAGATATGCTACAGAAGCTTTTGGATTTGTTTTTATGAGAGAGTTTTACTTTTGTGTCTGAAAATGGGCGTGGTTGACGTAACGGGCGGGAGAGCAGTCGATTCACACAACAGGAAAACAATGGATCGCAATGACTTTTTGGACGCTGAGGAAATTCTTGTATGACGGACCACAGCCATACAATAATGAGCCTGCTATGCTGCCAAGAGAGCAGGATTATGTTACAGAATGGTCAGACACATTTAGTTGTGGTGTGTGGAGAACCAGTGGAGAATAGGACAGGTGTCTTGGAGAGAGATGTGCTTATAGATACACGTTCGCTAACGATATACACTGTGTGTGCTCACAATATTGTACAGATTATCATCGTATTTCAGGCCAGCAGACATTAGTATGTTTAGGGTAGATTTATACTATTAAATGTATAAAAACTATACTTGAGTACATGCATTTTTAATACTATATTATTTTTTTCACTTGGGTTATAACATAAACAAAAAAATTAAGATTTGAATATTTAAACAACCTAGTAATTTTGTTTGCCTCTATTTACAGTAGGGCATGACTACGTATATCACACTATTTGATGCCGTTGGTATAGTATACGACGATCAATATTCTTGCTTCGGCATCCCATGTTGAACTCCATCATATCGCCGGGATGATAATCCTCCGATTTGAAGTGAACGCTACACAAGACCGCGTTTCGTGAAGCCGATGCAGAAGAGAAATCCCTTCTATTCACCTGCACAAACCGCACCTGGCACCAAAGATATACGCTATAGCACCGGTACTGTCCCTTTTCTTGTTATGGAAACCTGTGGACTTGATGTCCTGACAGGCAGGAGTTTTTGCAACCTCCACAAGCACAATAATTTACCATGACGATGATAAATTGAAATACAAAAAACTATTTCATGGCCGCTCTCAGTGAATACCAGCCTGTACTAAGCTGAGGCTCCCTGACGTGACGTAAAATGATGAGTAGTCGTTTTTACGAGTAGTCCAAGAAACACACACTTTATCTACTAAATGAGTGCCCTTAACTAAATGTTGTTTTAAAACCTGCATTAACTTTTCATATTGTATTTTCATAGAAGGTTATATATTTACTTATAGGTTAGAAGGTTATCTCTGCTTCTCTGGGTTCTAATCCACACTCGTAGTTTTTTTACCCTCATCAAAACGAGAATGTTTTTCAGTGGTTGTATAGCAATATACACTGATATATATTAGATCTCACATACGACCAATTAAACCCAAAGTACCGTAACATTTTTGGTCAGACATCACATCTTTGTATACATTTTATTTATTTACATCAATAAGCTGCAGGAAATCGTCTTTGAAAACATGACCTTCGCGAAAGAGAAAAAAGAATGAATGCGTCACTGTAACCAGCACTTTTGAAAATGCCCTTCCGAGTGCGTCTCTGTCCCCAGCACATTTCAAACCAAACTGACGCCCATGCAGGTGGGTGTAAGGGGTGCAAAAGCCAAGCAGCAAAAAAATAGAGCTTCGTTTAACACTTTGCTGATTCTGTAAGTCTCACATTTGTACCCTTTCCAACTCACTCCAATCATCATCTGATTTCATACTCTTTCTCCAATGTCTATCTGAACCTTTATTATTTCCTCTGCTCCTGCTGCCATCAGTGTCCAGAATCGACAGTCTGGCTAATGGTTTCTGGAAATTTCTTCATGTTCAGCTGTTTTAGCTCAGAGTAGCGGACTATATAGAGAATGCAGGACTTTAGATGTACAGTATTGCTTTATTGTGTGTCTTTGTGCTGTTACAGTGAGCACAGCTTACTCAGTGACCCAAGCCTAATTTGCTCACACTCAAAGGCAGGTTTGATAGTGATGGAAGGGAGTATTGAGTGTTTAGATAATGTTATTGATTTTAGAACTGCCTACTGAATAGCCCATGTGCCCTGTGTAGAACCATTAGCACCTAAGCTCAGAGTGTATGTGAGCGCAGTCTTGGATTGGGCTTCATCTCTCAAGAGCTTCCCACTCTAGGCTCTCTGCAGCTCTCAGCTCATCGGTTCCTCAAAACTAGTTAAAAATGGATTTGTCTGCTCTCTTTTCTCTCTCCAGACGAACATCCCGTTCCTCCAGAACGTGCTGAGCAATAATCAGTTCCTGAATGGGACGGTAGATACTCAGTTCATCGACGAGAATCCAGATCTCTTCAACCTTAAACCTGTGCAGAACCGCGCACAGAAACTGCTTCATTATCTAGGTAACCAGGATGATTCAATGAGCAAATTAATTCACAAATGTGTTTGACTGAATTTAAATATGCACTTTTGATTTGTGATATTTTATACAAGGGCATATTGCAGGTTAGAGGACAATAGGCCCTATCATTTTTTTTTTAAATTTTTTTTTTTTTGCCAATAGGCATTTCATCCACTAGAATTGATTTTCAGATGTATTTTTTTTTCTAACCATAAAACAAAGCATGTTGTCGTTTTATGTCAAATACCTCAATTTCAAGTAGCTCTAAATAATACACACAAGATGTCAGAAAACAATAAACACCCTTGCAAGAGCATTAATTGCACTAATTGAAAAAGAACCATATTTAGTATTAAAGTACCATATGTAAATTATGCTTATTTTTATGTTTTATTTTTTAAATTTTTTTTTTAACTACATTAAAATATCATTCCAATAAGTTCTTGGAGCTAAAACCTAAAGATGAAGTGACTTTGCTGTCACTCGGTGTCTTATTTTGACTTATTTTAGAATGCTCTAAATTACAGTTTTTTCCATTCATTTCTATGGGTGCCCATTTTTGACCCAAATGCAAGATTAAGGAGCTTTTTTTCACCCACTTAACATTGTAGAATTGAGTAAAAAAAAAAAAGTGTGTGTTCAGGATGCAAACTTAAGAAAAGTAGCCAAGTCTTGTACCGCTCAGATCAAGGGAAGTATTTTTTAAAAATAAATAAACTATTTTGCCCACATTTGTCCAGAATACGATTTTAGGGTTAAATTGTAATAATATTTCACAATATTCCATTGTATTTTTGATCAAATAAGCGCAGCCTTGGTGAGCATCAACTTTTGAACTGTAGTGAACACTTGAACAAAAAATTTGTTATACCATCCCTGCTCTCAGCAGCCCTTTACAAAGTTTCGTGTCAAGTCAAGAGCCAAAACCTTTAAAGTAATGTGGGCTGCGCACTTTCCATTCCACTTGACCAATCCACTCAGTGTGCCAGCAGAGGTGGATTTGAAGCAGTTTGTACTTTTTGTGTGTGATTGCCTTTGCTCGTCATTCAGGGCATGTTATGGTGAACGGCCCAACTACTCCAATACCTGTCAAGGCTAAGCCTTCCGCCATCGATCCGGTCATCCCACTAGTACCCCTCGGTAAGAAACGCACGCACTTATCTTATCTCACATTCACACACTGTCAGTTTCTCACACTGCAAACTCACTATAAGCTGCATTTGCACTTAGTTGTCATGATATTTCATTGATGCACTGCTGAAGCCGTGTTTTAGAGTATATTTACGTCTTACGGAAGGTGGTCATAATTCATCCTTCCCCCACAGTCTTTCTTGAAGTTATCCATGACTACATATGAATCTACAGCGGGGGAAGATAAAATTAAGGCATTTGTTTACAAAATAGCCCCTCCAGCACTTTTCATCGTCGTGCTCTGGGAAAATACTTAATCCTTTCTGGGTAATATGTCTATTGAGATGCATGTTGTTGTGCATTCGTGTCTGTATGTGAATAATAGCGCTGATAAAAATTAATTTTTTCTTTGTAGTCCCACGCAGTGTGGTGTATGTGATGATGTCTGTATTATTAATTGGCCGTGTGTTTGTGTACACACTCTGCAGGTGAGCCACCAGTGGGTTTCAGGGATGTGTTGCTGAGAGAGGGTCCAGATGGTTTTGCGAAGGCGGTGCGTGCCCACCAGGGTCTGCTGCTCATGGACACTACGTTCAGAGACGCCCACCAGTCCCTCCTGGCCACTCGCGTACGCACTCACGACCTTAAACGGATCGCACCTTTTGTGGCTCACAACTTCAGCAACCTCTTCAGCGTGGAAAACTGGGGAGGTGTGGTACTAGTTAGACTCTATTGTTTTCTTTTCTTCCTTATGCTTTCTCTCTCTCTGTCTCTCCCCTTCCCCCTCACTCCGTTTTTTGCCTTACTGCTGTGCATGCTAGCTGATAACCCACCCTACTATTCTCTAGCTTGACTCACTCCTCTCATTCGAAGTGAATAACACGAGAGCGATCAAAAATACCTGGTTTTGATCGATTTTTGATCCTTTACGTCTTGTACTTATAAGGACTATATATTTTGTTAAAAATAAGAACAATTTCATTGTCGAATGGTTGGATGATTTCGATAATAAAAACATTTCAAGCTTTTCTTTTTTTTTTACTAAAGATGAATAGACTATTTAATGACTGTAAATGTCTTTTCTCAGATCAGGTGGGATAAATGCTAAATTTGCCCTTTAATATATATATAAAAAACTACTACTAGCAAAACTCAATGTATTTTTAGATATTGTAATATGAACATCCAGTCAGCAGTGTTGTTATTAAAACTATTTAAAAAAAAATGTTAATTGAAATTAAGTTGAAATGAAATAAAATATGTAAATGCATATATCTAAAATAAGTTTGTTGAAGTACTAAAATGACTAAAACTGGAATAAAGATCTAATAAATCTAATAAAAATAACAAAAGGATGTAGCAAAATTACAAAAAAATCAACGTCAATTAAAATGAAAAATAAAAGTAATTCAAAATATTATTAAATAATATATAAATTTATAACAGAAATAACACTACCAATCATAATTTAACCTTTGTAAATGTTGAATGACGCTGTTGCATTTGACTAGCAGCAAGGGTCTCAGAAGATGTGCGTTACGTTCGTTTCAGGAATGAAAATATGGAAGTATGATTCAATGAGAAGGTGCTTTACACGCTTTAATGCTGGATATTCTGATTCTCTTACTTACATTTATTTGCTTTTTCCTTTTATTTGTGTCTTTCAACAGGTGCCACATTTGATGTGGCAATGCGTTTCCTGTGTGAGTGTCCCTGGAAAAGGCTGCAGGAGTTGAGGGCTCTGATGCCAAATGTGCCTTTTCAGATGCTTCTGAGAGGTGCCAACGCTGTTGGATACACAAACTACCCTGACAATGCCGTCTTCAAGTCAGTCATGTGCTATCTTACACCACAACCTGCTTACAGTCTGAATGAACTTCTCAAATGCTAATCTTTTTACAGACAGGAATTCCAAGGAATTGCATGTTCTGATTCAGATTACACTTACAGTAATGATTCTTTTTGTGCTTTTGAGGAAGCACTTGAGGAATCAAGTGGGGAATTCTTCCACATCAGCAGAAGAATGCAGACATTAACAAATGAATGGAAAAATCATTGGGTTCTGACTCTGGCCCTAAGCACCATTCAGATTGCTTTTAATTCTTATTAGGATGTGGAGCTGGGGAGCATTGCTGCTCATTTAGTGGCTTTGTGAAATGGCTCATAAAATGGCTGCTACCAATTTTCTATTCAGCATTTCCAGTGGCGAAATACACAAATGTAAATCTTATAGATAAAAATCTTGCATAATAAACTCTTTGCAAAATTAGCTAATTACATTTTACTTGGTCCTAATACTTGCTTAAGGTAGAAGAGCAAAGCTAGTATTGATATGCTATTATAGTATTTATTAAAATTTGAATTATCTTTTATTTTTATAATATCCGTTTTTATTTTACTTTCAGCAATTATGTTAAAAGATTTGCTCACTTTAAAATGAAAATTAGAACATGATTTACTCACCCTCAAGCCATCCTTGGTGAATATGACTTTTTTTTCAGACGAATACAATCAGAGTTATGTTAAAAAATATCCTGGCTCTTCCAAGTTTCATAATGGCAGAGGATTGTAACCAAAAGATTGAAGTTTAAAAACGTGCATTCACTCCTGTGGGAAGCAAAACAATGAGTTTGTGTAAGAAAAATATTAATATTTAAAATTCAAGCTTTTACTAGAATATATATATTTTCTTGTCAAACTCTGATTGTATTTGTCTGAAAGAAGAAGGTCAAATACACCTCGGATGGCTTGAGGGTGAGTAAATCATGGGCTAATTTTGATTTGAAAGTGAACTCCTTTTAAGTGCTTTTGTCATTTGTATTAATTTTTATAAATATTTCTGATTAGCTTTTGAGGTTTAAATATATTTTACGTTTTAAGCTTTTATATCTAATATATATTTTATTTATTATATTATTATACCAAGAATGATATCAGTGACTCATCATGACCATATAATTTCCTCTGTTTTTGTTAGGTTCTGTGAGGTGGCCAAAGAAAATGGTATGGACATCTTTCGTGTGTTTGACTCGTTGAACTATGTTCCCAACATGCTCTTGGGGATGGAGGCAGCAGGTGCAGCAGGAGGTGTGGTGGAGGCGGCCATCTCGTACACCGGCGACGTTTCTGACCCCATGAGGACGAAATATTCTTTAGACTACTATCTCAATCTAGCAGATGAGCTGGTCAAGGCTGGAACGCACATCCTTTGCATCAAGGTAGTGTTTTGTTTATTTTTTATGTGGTGTTTTTTATCCATTTGTCTGTTTTGTTAACCTTAACTCTTGCTCACTCTTTCATCTCGACTGCTGCTCCCACTCTGCCTCCACCCACACATAAAATACCACTGCATCACTGTCTCTGTTTGTTTATAGTGAACTTCTCTTACTTTACTTTCTCTTTCTGTCTCTCTGCTCTGCAGGATATGGCGGGTCTTCTGAAGCCTGACTCTGGCCGTTTGCTGATCGCCTCGCTAAGGGACCGGTTCCCAGACGTGCCGATTCACGTGCACACTCACGACACCGCAGGGGCTGGAGTGGCTGCCATGCTGGCGTGTGCGGAGGCCGGAGCAGACATTGTGGACGTGGCAGTTGACTCCATGGCAGGAATGACGTCCCAGCCCAGCATGGGTGCCATAGTGGCATGTGCCAAAGGCACCAAACTCAATACTGGTGAGGACTGTCAATCAAACTGTGTCTTGTTAGAACTGATATACAATATATTATTTGATGGATGGATGATGGATGGTGGATGGGTGGATGGATGAATGGATGGATGGATAGGCAGGTGGATGGATGGGTGGGTGGATGGATGGATGGGTAGATGGATAGATGGATGGATGGATAGATGGATGGGTAGATGGATAGATGGATGGGTAGATGGATAGATGAATAGATGGATGGGTAGATGGATGGATGGATGGATGGATGGATGGATGGATGGATGGATGGATGGATGGGTAGATGGATAGATGGATGGGTAGATGGATAGATGGATGGGTAGATTGATAAATGGATGGGTAGATGGATAGATGGATGGGTAGATGGATAGATGGATGGGTAGATGGGTAGATGGATGGATGGGTAGATGGATAGATGGATAGATGGATGGGTAGATGGATAGATGGATAAATGGATGGGTAGATGGATAGATGGATGGGTAGATGGATAGATGGATGGGTAGATGGATGGATGGATGGATGGGTAGATGGATAGATGGATGGGTAGATGGATAGATGGATGGGTAGATTGATAAATGGATGGGTAGATGGATAGATGGATGGGTAGATGGATAGATGGATGGGTAGATGGATGGATGGGTAGATGGATAGATGGATGGGTAGATGGATAGATGGATAAATGGATGGGTAGATGGATAGATGGATGGGTAGATGGATAGATGGATGGGTAGATGGATAGATGGATGGGTAGATGGATAGATGGATAAATGGATGGGTAGATGGATGGGTAGATGAATAGATGGATGGGTAGATGGTTAGATGGATAAATGGATGGGTAGATGGATAGATGGATGGGTAGATGAATAGATGGATGGGTAGATGGTTAGATGGATGGGTAAATGGATAGATGGATGGGTAGATGGATGGGTACATGGGTAGAGATGGATAGACCGAGCGAGGGAGATAATAGAACCGCTAGGTATCCCCACTCTGGCATCTCATTGGTCCAAAATCTCCACAAAACTGTAAACTAAATTAAACATCAAATATGGTCATATTGACTTAGAATGTTGTGGGACTCAGTTTTGCATTCAGTGAGGAAACAAAGTTTGTTGCTGGCAACTTTGTCTCATCCTGGTTAGGACATGGTGTTATAGAGATAAATTGGTTGTTTTGTTTTCCGTGAATATAAAACAGTTCCTCATTTATTTTAGTTTGCCTGTTTTTTCCATGATACAGCTCATCACTCGTTTTCCAGGTCATGTATTAAGGGGAACATGATGTGAACATTCTTTTTCTATCATAAAAGCTATTATCATATCTTTATGCATGAGAAAAAATTACTCCTCACCCTTATACCACAAGCCAAAATACTCTTCATGGTTTTTAATATTCAACACACCTGTTTTGCATTTTTGTTTTTTTCAACTGCTGTTCCTCATTTCATGCAATTGCTCCCACACTTTCATTCTCTTAATATTTATTTCCCCTCCTTCATAATCCAGTTGTGAATGAGGTCATGGGAAGTCAGCTGAAAAAGGAAGAAAAGCAAACAGAGCAGAGCAGTAGTGGTAATGAAAGAAATGAAAAAATTATAACACGACATGTCCAGTCAGCTATAGAAGGAAAAGAAAAATTGTTGGGGTGAATGAAAAGAGTAGAGAGAGAAGGGTCAGAGCGGATAGACATCATTTGGATGTTGGTGGCTGACCCATTGACTTTTCCTTAATAGTGACATTACTGTAGCTGCTGGTGCTTAACCTTCACTGATGAGCCTCATGCCCCGTTGGGCCTCCTCGCCGTAGGGTGTGTGTGTTTGTGGCCAGAGACTGTGGAGTGTGGTCAATCTGTGGTGGACCATCTGTCCTACCACGGGTCACTGCCTCACCTGCCGCTGTAGTGACCAATGGCATAAAAATCTACCTAATGGCTGATTCACGTTGCAAATGTCAACATTTCTGTCATCCTAAAGTTGTCTGTGGACTGTTTAATTAACTTCAAACATGCAAGAGTACTGTTATTGTGAATATCAACATGGCTGAGATTCAATTGTTGAAACTGATTCCATATGACTAGGGATAAATTGATTTTAATATTCTGGTCAATACTAATGAGCTGATCATTATTTTCATGTTTGGACCAGTATTAAAATTAAATACAATTCTCTATTGTTTTAAATGATACAAGTGAATTTAGGCATCACAGCTTTTTAATGTACAATATGGAAAATTAATATTTTTCTTTTGAGATTTACTGAAGATTGCATTTAACAGTGTTATTGAGTTATTAGTTTTTGTAAAAATTCAATTTGAGGTAAGTGTTAGATGATGGTAAAGGTAATCCAAATACAGAAATATGATAAAATAACAATTGGATATTCAATATCGACCAATACTGATAAATTCAATTCTCTAATACCTGCTGATTGCCGATATGTTTCTGATCGGGACTCTTGGAATTAGTGGTCACAAAATGTGTAGCCGATAAGTGTCTGAACGTTTAATTTCACCGTGCAGATGGTCAAGAGCTTCAGGTCTCCATCTTTATTTATTTCCTGTCTTTTTTGAACAGTTCTTCTGTTAAACAGAGATAGTAATTTGTAAATGAAAAGGTATTACAGTGTTTGTCTCTCTATTATTATTAATAGAATAGCATAAAATAATTTATTCTATACTATCAGCATTTAGTAAATATGCATTTTTACTGTATTTAGATAAGTCTTTGAATATCTAATAAACATTTCATTGCAGCATAGGTTATTTACTGTCTATATATGTATATATATATATGTGTGTGTGTGTGTGTGTGTGTGTGTGTGTGTGTGTGTGTGTGTGTTTGTGTGTATTTTATATATATATATATATATATATATATATATATATCTTCCACAAGAACTCTCAGATTTCATCAAAAAGATCTTTATTTGTGTTCTGAAGATGAACAAACATGAGGGTGAGTAATTAATGACAGAATCCCTAGACAACACATTAATGTATTAATGTATTCTATGAAAGTCCATGCTTTATGTATACAGACATCCCAAGTCTCCCGGAAGTTCCGGGAGTCTCCCGCATATTAATAGCGTCTCCCTGATGCCCGCAAATTAGTTAAAATCTCCCGGAATCTAGAGCGAGACATACTGCGCGCATAACATACATAGCGCGCTGCGCGTGCACTGTACAGAGGGAGAGACCGAGTGTGCCTCGCGAACGCGAAAGTTAGCCCTCCCTCCCACCCAAGATCCTGTTACCGAAATATACCTCCCGGAAATGAATTCTTGCAGGTTGTGATGTCTGTGTATAGATACTTCCCCATCCCGTGGGTGTGTGACTTTGGCAGTATATGAAACACATCAGAGCGGTCACATGATGAGGTGTTCATACTATTGTTAATTCATTTTTATTCCCTTAAGATTCACCCGTTACCCCCTCATTCTCAGTACCTCACATTTCTTTGGTTTTCCCTCCAGGATGCGTTTCCTAGGTAATTGAATTGTTTGCAGGTTGTCAGGATTCCTATGGCAGTGTTATTGTAGTCTCTGTCTCTTTACACACAGTTTTGTTGCCATATGCAACATCCAGTATTAATCACCTGTTCACAGCTTTTTAAAACAAGCTGCCGTATGTGTTGATGTGAAAAGGAAGAGACAGCGCTGACACATGCTCGATTCTTATTACACTAGAGTACACAAGGCATTGATATTCCTCAAACATGCCATTTGTTCTCTCCTGCTGAACCTGCGCCTGAACCTTTCAACATAGATAAAAAATGAAACTTAAGATTAAAATGTGTAAATCTCCCCTCGACTTACATTGATGGAATGTTCACAATTTAAAAACTAAGTTGTAATAATTGTATTTACATAGTGAATTCTGATCAGCTACAACCCAGTGTGTTTTATAATTGTTAAATAAAATAAGAAATAACATTTTCCATATCAAGTAGCATACCAAGTTTTTTTTTTTTTTTTTTTTACAGCTAAAATATCTGGAAGCGGCTGACACCAGAAACCTCACACTTTCATGTTACAATGATCTCCACCTCAGAGCCCTCTCACATTTACACTTTCAAGTATCACATTATGTGTTGATTCTAATGCACAGCTGACAAAAAAAAACAAGATTTAGTTTGTTGTTGACTATAACATCTTTTAGTTAACTGTCCATTCATCCATCCATCCATCGACTATCTATCTATCTAGATATCAGATAGATACCTGTCTATATATTTGTCTGTCTGTCTAATATTTTTTCATCTATCTATCTAATATTTCTAATCCATCTATCCACCTATCTATCTGTCTGTCTGTCTGTCATATCTATCCATTTTTTGTTTTGCCTATTCATCCATCCATCCATCCAATTTTTCTAATCTATCTTTCCATCCTTCCTTCATACATCCAGCATCCATCCATCATCCATTTATCCACTCATCTATCTATCAATATTTCTTATCTACCTGTCTGTCTGTCATGTCTATCCATCTTTTGTTCTGCCCATTCATCTATCCATCCATCCATCCAATATTTCTAATCTATAAATCCTTTCTTCATACATCCAACATCCATCCATCCATCCATCCATCATCCATCCAATATTTCTTATCTATCTATCCATCCATCCTTCCTTCATATATCCAACATCCATCCATCCAATATTTCTAATCTATCTATCCATCCTTTCTTCCTTCATCCATCCATCAATCCAATATTTCTAATCTATCCATCCTTCCTTCATACATCTAACATCCATCCATCCATCCAATATTTCTAATCTATCTATCCATCCTTCCTTCATACATCCAACATCCATCCATCCAATATTTCCAATCTATCTATCCATCCTTCCTTCATCCATCCATCATCTATCTATCTATCTATCTATCTATCTATCTATCTATCTATCTATCTATCTATCTATCTATCTATCTATCTATCTATCTATCTATCTATCTATCTATCTATCTATCTATATTTCTTATCTGTCTGTCTGTCTGTCATATCTATCCATCTTCTGTTCTGCCTATTCATCCAATCAGTCCATCCATAATTTATTGAATTTTTAAAACATATTCAGGTAATAACCATGACACCTAAAAATATACTTTTCGGTCTTTTGTTTATCCCTATTTTACAGGGAAAATAAATCCTTATTTTGCAAACGTTTCCACAGTAAATGATGCAAATACAGAATTGAATTGAAAAAAAGGAGAAATTAAAAGTTTAAAGTTCCTCTGCAAAAACATGCCAAGTTGTCAGTGAGGATTTGTTGTGTGAAACTACTTATCGGTCTATCAGATGGATGGATAGACATGGATAACATCCTGTCATCTTTCCAATTCTCCTTCAACTTTCTCTCTCACCTTGTCATTTTCTAATCCGCCTTTCTCACTCACTCTATCAATCTCTCATTGTCCGGCTCCGGTCCCTCCGCCTCCCATAGTCCCTTTCTCTCTCTCTTCTTCTGTTCAAGACAGTTCATCACTGTAAAGGCCGTGTGGCCAGAGATCGATGCCGAGCTGACTGACGTGTGCTGATTGATCAGGCTTCATGGGGAGGAGCTGGACACGCTGCTTTTACACCATAACATCAATAGCGCCTAATAGCTTGTAGTCGGGGTGGCAGCAAGAAAAATGCACGCAAGCGAGTTTTATGAGGGCGTCGTCTCTCGTCCTGCCGTCGTTCTCCGCCGGGTGCGCGCACACGTTAGATCGTGTTTGTGCGTGTGTTATCTTTTGCACAGGAAAACTATTGTGATCACAGCGATGGGCAATTAGTAAGGATGAGGGAGCCAAACGAGCATGTAAACTCTGTTGCAAGTGGCGCGCCTCATTGATTGATTAATTGACTGACTGCCGCTGGTAAATGATGAAGCCGTGAGTGGCAGGAAGCAATCTATGCTCCGCCACATATTCCCTGCTTCGACCACATACAGGCCCCTGTGTGCTGAGCTTTTCGAGGACTGATTAAAAGCTTTGGAAGGATGCCTGATTAGCCAGTGCAGTCTGTTAAAGACAAGGACTTTCATTATTTCTGATTAAATATTAATGTCAAACAGTCATTTGTTGTGCTACTTGTTCTCAGATTGCTTATTCCTCTTGGTAGGCTAATGATCTCTCATCCTGTCTGTCTTTTGTTCTTTCTCTTTCTCTTCACCCACAATTCTTTCTCAGGCATCTCTCTTGAGAAGGTCTTTGACTACAGTGAGTATTGGGAGGTGACCCGAGGCATTTATGCTCCATTTGACTGCACCGCCACCATGAAGTCTGGGAATTCTGATGTCTATGAGAACGAGATCCCAGGTGGCCAGTACACCAATCTCCACTTCCAAGCACACAGTATGGGGCTGGGGAACAAGTTCAAGCAGGTGAAGAAAGCCTACGCAGAAGCCAACAAGCTGCTTGGTGACCTCATCAAGGTGAGCAATTCTCTTTGTTTTCATATTTAAACCTATTTTTTCGTAATTTATAATGGATTCTAACAGGATGCTACAATCAGGTTGTCCCATTTTTCATCCCATAGCGAAATTAATCTTTAGCAATAATGCTACTATGCATTATGGACCTACTATGAGCTCAGAAGCTGTAATATAATACTAAAAAACAATAAAAAAAACTTTAAAGGTGTTCACATTTACATTGTTCTGTGAAACTTTGTGGGCAAAATCCTTACAATAGCAATCCACGTGATCGAGAATCACAAAAGATTTCTCCAAGCAGCGGGTTCAAGCTTCTTGGTTTGAAAGTGACTTCTATGTGAACACAACTGACCTTTTTTGCGTCCAAATTTCACTGTGACAGCGCCTTTAGAGCCGAATTTACAGTGACAAACTACAAGTGAATTTGAATATTGAGCAAAAGTTCATTTATTTCAGTAATTCAACTTAAAGGTGAAACTAATACATTAAATAGACTCATTACATGCAAAGTGAGATATTTCAAGCCTTTATTTGTTATAATATTGATGATTATGGCTTACAGTTATGAAAACCCCAAATTCAAAATTAGAATATTGTGTAAAGTTGTCATAACTGTAAGCCATAATCCTCAATATTATAACAAATAAAGCTTGAAATATCTCACTTTGCATCTAATGAATCTATTTAATATATTAGTTTCACCTTTAAGTTGAATTACTGAAATAAATTAACTTTTGCAGGATATTCTAATTTTTCGAGTTTCATCTGTATACTAACCATAAACTTGTATTGACTCATCATAGATGGGGTCAAAATTACAGCACAAAAGTGGTGAACACTGACTCCCATGAAGCATTGTGCATATTTGTATATATCAGCTGGTTATTTTGTAAAATATATTTTATTTTATACTTCTAAATGACTGTTAATCAGTAGTTTTATATTGTGCAATTGCTTTCACTGCCATTTCATTGTGCTTCATGTAAATATAGATATTTTTTTAAGTTTAGATGAATGTTGTAGTTTATAATGTAGTAAGAGTTGGTTTTGTTTTTTCATGAAGCTGATTTTCTGTATACAGTAATTCTTTATTAGAAATCCATTTGGAGAAAATTTATTGAAAAAAAAATTAAGGCCGTAAAAAAGTATGGCGTAATTTTTGCACTATTCTGTGATTGTCAGACGAGGACAATGAAATTTCTCATGAAATGCCATATTGCTTTTGAACATGATGACTGGAAAATATCAGTGCAGTAGTACATGAAGTGGTGTGCATGGTGTCGTGATGAACCCTTTTAACCCTTCGTGTGTGTCATTGCTTATAATAATCCAGATCCTCATGAGGCTAGTCTTTATATGGTGAAAAGACACCACACATTTTAGCTAATTATTTCCTCAGTTGTTATATTTCACACGCTTGAAAACAGAGTCGTGATGTTGTCAAATGATTTTTCAGTGAATCATTCCTTTTACTGTCACTCGTGTCCTGTTCCTTGCTTGCCGATATTAATGTTAGGCATGTTCAAAAGTATTGTTATAATTTGAGTTATTTTGGTCAAATGCAATGTGCAAATGTGTAGCACCAATTTCCCCTCTTACAAAATATTCATTTTTTACTACAATTGTGCTTGTTAAATCTGATGCACATTATCTATTCAAAGGATTTGTTGGACAGATTGGTTTAAAAATGTCCTGCTACCTCCTTGAATGCCCTTATACACCTATAAAATAGATGTTTTTGCTACAAGAGTTTGCCGTTTTCCTTTAAATTTGCACTGGAATTGATTCTTAATTCTCTTTTTTTTTCTGTGGAATTTGAAAAAAAGTGTGATCTGGCCCTTAATCGCTTCAAAACACTCTAGCTCTTCAAATAATAAAAGCCATCTCCGAAGAGAAGGCTTAATAGCTTTTAAAAATTTGTCAGTCATCTGAGAAGTCTGGCATAAGATATAATTATCAGCATAAAATCCACTCAAGCCTTTAGTGTCTTGGATACTAAAGATAAATATAACATTTTAGTTATATTTCTGAGAGGCTGGTGTATCTCCATGAACAAAATATATATTTTATAAGCATTGAGCAGAATATATATTTTAGATTTTACCATTTCTCTTACGCTCATCTCCCGTTTTAATCATTTTTACTTTCACTAGGTCCGTTGAGTGTGACAAATAAAGATTTTCATGATGATGATAATAATAAATAATTGTTTATTTATATAACAAATAACATCTCTTTGCAACTTATTAAAAATACTTTTCTCTTTATACTATTAAATATTATATTATGATTGCACATATAAATAGTAAAGTATTTCATCTAGTCTCTTACTTAAGTCTACATAATAGATGCATGCTTAATGATTATAAAATAATGAGCAAAATTCTGATTTTGGTTTTAGATTGATGTCAATCCAATATCATGTCACAACACATGTAATTATCCCAAAGGTATTTTGTGTCAACTACTCTTAAGGAGAAAAAATCTATTCTGTTATAATAAATATTAAAAGGTCTAGATGTCATTTGTATCTAAAGTCCCCCTGTGGTCAAATCAAGTTAATGTTGTTCATATGTTTATATGGTGTTTTTTAATGTGCTTTAAGACAAACCATGTGCAAAGTCATAAGTCAACACCATTTCTGAGTATTTTCTCCGATTCTGAGATGGCGAACGGGAACATGGTTTATGTAACCTTAGCCACAAATTATTAGCTGTTTGATAACGTAGTCTAGCCAAAGGCTAATCAAATTCATTACCGTTATGTGTACGACGTTATAAAGAGCGATACATAAAATGCATTCCCATTCTGATACATCAACTTGTAGTCGAGCCTGCATGAGTGAGTGGAGGCTCATTTGCATATTCATGTTCCACATATTCTAAATAAACCACAGGTGTAGAGTTACATTCATGTTATGAATGGACACAGAGGAAAAAAGATGTTTAAATGTGTCATTTTGGTGATCAAAGATTCAATGATCAAAAATATTGACTACAGGGAAACTTTAACTCTAGGAATAATTTAGAATATTAACTGCTGTAGAATATGTTTTGATCAATATTAATATGATGTGCAACCACAGGTAGTCAGCTAGACAGTGGAAATACGTGGTTAACCAATATTCAGTCTGGCTCTGTTTACTTAAAATCCAATTTCATATTCTGTACTTCCTGTTATAATCCAGATCATTTTTAGATTTCTACTCCATAAGCATTCCTCTCAGAGATTTAAATCAGATTCCCCCCCTTCATTGCATTTAAAGTTGGAGGCCAATCATGAAATATGAGATTAGCAAATAAGTGCATGCTTTAGATTCATGAAGAAGGTCTGTTTTTTCTCTTGATCCATCAGTGAATGGAATATTTAAGATTCATACGCCGTAATTATCACTTGACCACCACAAACGTGCAGCTTAAATCGCTTGTATGCAATAGGGCTTAATTATCACCCCCTGCTCTCAAAAGGGTCTCACCCTCACTCTTGAAATCATGAGCATTGTGGACCTGAGAGCTCCTCTCTGAATCACAGATTTAATTGCTCGTTCTCCTCTCTCTTTCCTCCTCCTCATCCCTCTTATTCCATTGCAACCGTCTCAATCTCCAGATGAAATTGAATAAAAATAACTTGGGCAGAAAAAAAAAAAAAAAAACGGGGCAGAAAAGAGGAGTGAATAAATAATCCTGTCCCTGTCTCCTATGGCCCAGAGACGGATCAACTGGGAAGAGCTTTAAGGAAAGCTTATCTGTTGTATTTCAGAGAGGCTCTGACTGATCTCCTCCAATCAAAGGCGTCTGTGAGCGTTTGGTCTTGCCTTGCTGCTTTTCATTTCCCTGGGCTTAATTAAATGATCGAAGATAGTCGGCTTTCTGTCCTCGGAGTCCCCTCGCTGTTAATATTGTCAATATCGAGGCTGAGCGGTGCGCTGCTTAACAAGCGACAGTTAGCGCTGGGTTTCATTAGTCTGTTCTGTTCTCTCGGTTTCTTACATTTTTCTCCCTTTTGTCCTTACGACACAAATGTTATCTACTCCCTAAGCCGTGTTTCTGTCTCCTCTCTTACTCGTGCTTTAGTTTAGGTGGAGAGATGAGATGTATCGATGGAGGCCTAAGCAAGCATGTCTTTTCATTTCTCACTTTTATCTGTCCTTCTCTCATCCCCTCCGTTCAGGTGACACCCTCCTCTAAGATTGTGGGCGATCTGGCACAGTTCATGGTGCAGAACTCTCTGACTCGGGCAGAAGTGGAGGAGAGAGCGGATGAGCTGTCTTTCCCCCTCTCCGTGGTCGAATTCCTGCAAGGACACATCGGCATCCCCTACGGAGGATTCCCGGAGCCCTTCAGGTCAAAGGTACGACATGCACAGCGCATTTATCACTCAATCTGCTGAAATACAACTAGTGTGACCAGATGCCTTATTACGTAAATGCGGTATGGCTATTCATTTAAAGGAGTAGTTCACTTTTCAAAAAAACTTTCGCTGATAATTTACTCACCCCCATGTCATCCAAGATGTCCGTGTCTTTCTTTCTTCAGTCGAAAAGAAATTAAGGTTTTTGATGAAAACATTCCAGGATTTTTCTCCATATAATGGACTTCAATGGGAACCAAACGGTTCAAGGTCCAGTGCAAACTGCAAACTGTTCAAAGGGCTTTAAACGATTCCAGACGATGAATAAGGGTGTTATCAAGCGAAACGATCGCTCATTTAAAAAAAAAAAAAAAACAAAGTTTAAGTTTTATAAGCTCAAATGGTCACCTTGCTCTGTTCTGTGATGCACGTTTGTGACTCTCCTGTTCGAACTCGTTCATCAAAATGAACAAATCTTTTTTCGTGTACCGAATTGACTCGGAAAAAGATTTGTTTATTTTGATGAACGAGTTCGAACAGGAGAGTCACAAACGTGCATCACAGAACAGAGCAAGGTGACCATTTGAGCTATCCTATTAGTTTCAGAATCCTATTACTTTAATAGCCATTGTAAAAAAATAACAAATAAATCACGAATTAAGATAGCAGTATGGAATCAAGATATTCTGTTGGGACAGAGGTTAAAGGATTAGTTCACTTTTGAAAAAACTTTTGCTGATAATTTACTCACCCCCATGTCATCCAAGATGCCCATGTCTTTCTTTCCTCAGTCGAAAAGAAATGAAGGTTTTTGATGAAAACATTCCAGGATTTTTCTCCATATAATGGACTTCAATGGGAACCAAACGGTTCAAGGTCCAAAAGACAGTTAATAACTGTTTCAGATGCAGCTTCAAATGTCTTTAAACGATATCAGACGATGAATAAGGGTCTTATCATGCGAAACGATCGGTTATTTCAAAGCTTATTCCAAAAATATAACTTTTCTAAGGACAAATGCTAGCCTTTCTCCATTCTGTGAGGCGCGTTTGTAACGTCACGTAATACGTAATTACGTTCAAAAGGTCACGGGCGACGTAGCCGGAAGTACAGAATCAAAATCGTCCGACGTCGTTGTTTTACCTTTTAATTCCTTTTTTGTAAACGGCGTTTGAGTTAGTTTTCACGTTCAACCTATGCGTTCAACTTGTAAACACTCTGACTCTGTACTTTTGGCTACGTCGCCCGTGACCTTTTGAACGTAATTACGTACTACGTGACGTTGCAAACGCGCCTCACAGAATGGAGAAAGGCTAGCATTTGTCCTTAGAAAAGTTACATTTTTGGAATAAGCTTTGAAATAACCGATCGTTTCGCATGATAAGACCCTTATTCATCGTCTGGTGTCGTTTAAAGACATTTGAAGCTGCATCTGAAACAGTTATTAACACTATCTTTTGGACCTGAACCATCCGGTTCCCATTGAAGTCCATTATATGGAGAAAAATCCTGGAATGTTTTCATCAAAAACCTAAATTTCTTTTCGACTGAGGAAAGAAAGACACGGACATCTTGGATGACATGGGGGTGAGTAAATTATCAGCAAAAGTTTTTTCAAAAGTGAACTACTCCTTTAAGATGAAGAAGGTAAGATAAAAGGGTCAGAGGGAGGATTTAGAATCAATTGTTGTAAAGTAAGTTGAACCCGAGTTAAAGTCTCTGCTCGGCTTGTGTTGAGATGAGAAAGAAGAGAAAACCCAGTAGCACAAATACGAGTTATCGAAATATCTCCATGGTGGGCAAAATAAGCTTCAGCTCTTTCACTGAAGATATTCGGTTGATCTCACTAGTATTTACCTTGAGAGGGTTTCTCCCTACAGTCTCTGGAGTGCATTAACACTGTGTTGTGCTTGTCAGAGATACGCAAGGGAAAACCATGTCATTCCTTTTGTCTTGAACGCCCCAATTACCCAGCAGCCATTCCTGTGCAAGATTAGCTGTTTCTCTGACAAATGTGTCTCACACCAGATCTGAACAATGCTTTTTTGCGCATGCAAGTATGAAGCTAATTTATTTACAATGTCTCTTTTTCAGAATTTGTAGGCCATCTGCTTTGCATATCTTTTAGATAACAAACACATTTGAGCAACTTGGCACTGACCTTATTTTTTCCCCATCTGGTTTGTACCATTAATATGGTTCATAATTATGCAAGCGTTTGTTTGCTTGTATAAAAAATGTTTCATTTAGGTCTGTGGTGTGTATTCCGAAGTCTTGGTTCTACAGAATAAAAATGCTGACATTTCATCATTTCAAAATTGAATTCTTCACAACTTGCGCTTGATTCCTCGGCCTCTTGAATTCAACTAAATGAAACAATAGGGAGAGATTAATCCTGCTCCTGGTAATGATCGGTTATAAATATTCCTGGATTCTGTGTGGGTCTTAGGGGGATTGTGAACGCTCTACATCATCCGCTTACGAGCAGCTTGAAAATACAGTGTAGCACCAATATTCGAGGAAATATACGTTTATTGTCTGTTCAGGCACCTGCTCTTTTCTCAGGCTCTCATCACTCATTTGTGGCACAGGTTTTGAAGACTCTTCCCCGTGTGGAAGGACGTCCTGGAGCTACCCTGCCTCCCTTGGATTTCCAGGCCTTGGAGAAGCAGCTGCAAGAAGCTCACGGTGATGAAATCACCCCTGAGGATGTGATGTCAGCAGCCATGTACCCCAAAGTGTTCCAGGAGTTCAAAGAATTCACTAGAACCTTTGGGCCTGTGGATTGTCTGGACACCAGACTCTTCCTGGATGGACCTAAGATTGCTGAAGAGTTTGAGGTGGGAGTATTTCTTTTTTAGACTGAAGTAGCCTCACATTTTTATTTGCTATTACTGTGCCATAAATCTTCCTGTCATCCATGACCCATTCCTACATTCATTCCAAGCATCAGTTCCTTATTTCCTGTGCTTGTATCTCTGCGGTCTGTCTCAGGTGGAGTTGGAACGAGGCAAAACACTTCATATCAAGGCTCTGGCTCTCGGAGACCTTAATAAAGCCGGTCAGAGAGAGGTGTTCTTCGAGCTCAATGGTCAGCTGAGATCTGTTCTGGTCAAAGACACTGTGGCCATGAAGGTGTGTTTCTGATTTTACTTACAACTTTAAAAGGAGGGATTTTTCTTCCTCCCCTTTTAGAAAATTGATCTTGTTTTTTGGACCAGTTGCGTGAAGGTAGCAGCAGCTTATTAGAGTTGGTAAAATACATAAACCGTGTATACGTGAAACCAGACAGGTTTATTATATAGTTTCACGTTTTTTTATTTCTATTTTATTTTAAATTTAGTTTTTATAGGGGTTTCCAATACGTTTTCTAGTTTCAGTTTTTTTTTTGTATAAGGCTAATGATAACTATATTGGTGTCCACAATATAGTTACAATAACATTCTCTTTATTGGGGATGCACCGAAATTAAAATTCTGGGCCAAAACCGAAAATTCACGATGCAAACCAAAAATAAATGATAGAATAATAAATAAATAAATTAATCTAATTGTTTAATAATCAACAATCAAATAGCTAATGCTGAGTTGTGCAAACATTTTGCACATTAGGCCTTTTTTTTTTGTACATTTTTAATAACTGAATTTTTTCTGCTCCACAGTTGGTGAAATATAAACATTTAAATGACAAAAAACTGATAAACTAAACTTTCTTTCATGACAGATTTATTTAAACATGCATTAAATAATGAATATATCATTAACAGGTTAAGTAGAAAATTAATGAGGTATAGTGTCTATATTTAGCAAAATGCTTTCTGGAGTTATTTTTTCTGCCTACCTAATGAGTTTATGGACATTGAGTTGCTTACTTGAGGTAAATAAAACTAGGGTTGTTAAACGATTAATCATGATTAATCGCATCCAAAATAAAAGTTTGTATTTACATAATATATGTGGGTGTACTGTGTATAATTATTATATATATATATATATATACACACACATGCATGTGTGTTTAAGAAAAAAATATTATTTATATATAAAATATGTATATTTATATACAATATAAATTATATTTAAATCAATATACAGTATATACATGAAAATATTTCTTAAATATATATATATAAATTATACACAGTGCACCCACATATATTATGTAAACACAAACTTTTATTTTGGATGTGATTAATCGTTTGACAGCCCTAAATAAAACGTTATGAGATCGTATTGCCTTCAAAGTTTACTAATGTGTTTCCCTGATATAAACAGTCATTTCGTGAAACAGGATTCATTTTGATAAGTTGTGATGTATCGTTCAACATATCGTCTGGTGTTCACCCATGTTTATTTAATGCTGTAACTAACTATTAGTAAAGAGGAGATGAGATGATCAGTTCACTTGCACTTGATCCGTGCCGCTGCTGGTCTGTGTGTGTGTGTGTGTAAATGAAACTGAAGTCCTGCCAACCCATATCAATTTTCTTGGATTTGTAGGAGATGCATTTTCACCCTAAAGCCCTGAAAGACGTACGTGGGCAAATTGGAGCTCCTATGCCCGGTAAGGTGGTAGAGGTCAAAGTGAAGCAGGGCCAGCAGGTGGAGAAAGGACAACCGCTCTGCGTCCTCAGCGCCATGAAGATGGAAACTGTGGTGAACTCTCCTCTCGCCGGCATCGTGACCAAAATCTACGTGTCCACCGACAGCACCCTGGAAGGAGATGATCTTATTCTGGAAATCACTGAATAGATATCGTGAAGGCCAACAGCAGGAAACATCACCAAGGCTAAACACACAAACTTTAGTAACACACACATGTAGAGGCTAACACCTTTTAGTACAAGCTTATTTTTGCAGGATCTCAAAAAATTCTTTGAGTGTTGTGTCATATGTTCTTCTGCGATCCTCAATTTATGCGTGATGAGGATGTGAGCTAGCGTTGGTCTTTAGACAGAGAAATGTTTATCAGTCTTTAATTAGTATTAATGAATGTAGTAAAAAACTATAAGATTTACATTGAAAATATAGCAAGCAATAAACTAATGAAAGAACGAGATTTAATTAATCGCATTAATTATCGCACACAGATGTTTCGTCACTTTGGTCATGATTGTTTACATAAACTAAAAGCACTAAAAAAAAAATCATATGCACAATCCGTCCCTTTAAATATAGTTTTATGTCAGAGAGGATCTTACTTGAATTACTAAGCGAATACAATTTATTTCAAGACAAATTGCTGTCTCGTATACCCAATGTTTTGACCAATGGCCTTGCTTGCTTTGTTGCTGGGAACGCAAGTGCAGGAATGGATCCGACCCCGTCTCATGAGCCTTACACTTGAGTTGTATATCATGTAAAGGTGGTGAATAGTTACCCAGATATTTTGTGCTGAAGTGAGCCCCAGTGAGGCCAACTAGGATCGATGAGTATTCAAGATTAGGATTCTTGACGAGGATTGAAGAGCACTTATAGACTCCGCGGCAGACTCTCCGCATATTGAGTTGGAACGTAGGCTTTAGCGGGAACATACTTTTCCCAGGGCTCATCTTGTGCTTGTGTTCCAATCGCTCTCCGTCTTAATGTGAATTTATTTCACTGTCCTGTTACATTCCCCTTAGCAGCAGATGCCTCATGGCATGGTGTAATGACACTGAGCGGCTGTATTCTCCACATTTCTTTAATTTCCCTTGTTGAACACGATTGATATAATTCGTAACAGATAATGAGAGGTTTTATTCAACGGCATTCAACTAATAGAAAGCTCTCAGCCTGAAATCTACGAGACTCGTGGCTTTTGCGGCATTGGGGTGCGTCTGAAATGGTTTCAAGTAGATCAATTCTTTATGAGGACCAATAGCCTGCAACGTAGATGTTTTCTTATTGCTCATCATAACATAAAAGTGGAGACTAAAGCACGTTGTTTTAGCTGTGTGAATTGTACAAGCCCATTAATGTAATGATCATTCCTTCAAATGGATGTTGCCATTAAAATGAAGCTAATGTTGTTTAGATGTCGATTTTAGAACACAAAACGTCTGTGGTTGGTTCTCTAAACGTCTCCATCTCATCACCACAGTCGTATTTCAGATTGTTCCGCTGTGTTATTAGACAATTACATCTCAGTTTACATGAGGAATTGTGATGGGCATGAAATTAGGGGATTTGCTGTGAGAGGGAAGATTCCTGTTGGCTTTTTTACTTTTATTTGGTTCCCATATCATGTATGGGGCACTGATTGAAAATCTCTTGAGAAATGTTGAATGCTATCAGTTTTGACAGTGCAGTCAAGGCAGTAACTCTTGCTGCAATTCTGAGAGTCGAGAAGTGTCTGGCTTTGTTTTATGCTGCCAACAGTGCAGTATGCATCAAAGTTGTTAAATGAGTTATGCACCGTCTTAATGTTGCACATGTTGCTGATGCGTATCTACTTGGCACATTGTTAGTTCAAACTGGGTACATTTACAGGGTAAAATATTTCTGTGTGTAGACTTTGAAATTGGGAAAGTTCTGAAGGGAATTGGAACTAATCTGTGTGACATTTCAGATCTGATGCCTTTAATAGCATTCGTTATCTTTCCATTTGAAAGTCTTTATTTCTGTGAAGTTCATCTCCTTCGATCTGTTTTGATAATGAGAATTATATCATGCAAATACTAATGCACCATAACCTTGTGTGTTATTTTAGCATTGAAAATGTTTAAGAAAATATATAAATCAATAAATCAAAGTTAACAGACTGTCTCCTGTGTCTTTGGTTGCTATTTTAGCATATAAATCAAAGCTTAAAGTACTAGTAGTACACTTTTAAAAAAACTTTCGCTGATAATTTACTCACCCCCATGTCATCCAAGTTATCCTTGTCATTCTTTCTTCAGTCGAAAATAAATTAAGGTTTTTGATGAAAACATTCCAGGATTTTTCTCTATATAATGGACTTCAATGGGAACCAAACGGTTCAAGGTCCAAAAGACAGTTTCAGTGCAAACTGTTCGAAGGACTTTCAGATGATCAATAAGGGTCTTATCAAGCGAAACGATCACTCATTTAAAAAACAAAATTTGGTTCATTTGGTTCATTAAACGAATTTGGTTCATTTAACGAGTTGACTCTGGAAAAGATTCGTTCATTTTGATGAACGAGTTCGAATAGGAGAGTCACGAACGCGCATCACAGAACAGAGCAAGCTTATAAAAACCATGAGCTTATAAAACTTAAACTTAGTTATTTTTTTTTTTTAAATGAGCGATTGTTTCGCTTGATAAGATTCTTATTCATCGTCTGAAATCATTTAAAGTCCTTTGTACTGAAACTGTCTTTTGGACCTTGAACCGTTTCGGTTTGGTTCCCATTGAAGTCCATTATATGGAGAAAAATCCTGGAAGGTTTTCATCAGAAACCTTAATTTCTTTTCGACTGAAGAAAGAATGACATGGATATCTTGGATGACATGGGGGTGAGTAAATTATCAGCCAAAGTTTTTTGAAAAGTGAACTACTCCTTTAAAACGTGGACGTGGTGATGCAATTGTTTCGATTCATTCTCTCAAGGAGTCGATATTCACGTGAATGCATATTAAAATAGCTTGAACATGATGCTTTTATGAGTCAGTGTTTGAGTGGGTTCCATTCAAATCAATATCTACAATCATGTGATCTCACATGCGGATGACATCACATACCTCCAATTAACTCTGCTTATTGATCGTCCGTCTGCCTGCATGTGGCTGGGAGAAACCATCTGTATACTGGAAGAGATGGAATAATATAAGATCCATCATGTGAATAATTAAGTTCATTAGTTTCTTAGAGTCTTATGATTGGGGATAGTCAGCCTGCCAGTGATACTACTGACTGATGGCTCCATATTGGTGCGCTTGTGGCAAAACGGGATATAGGATTATGGGATAATGTAGGAGTGATGGATGAAGCTCCCCTGTGCATCCATATGCTCGTTCTATTCTGGCAGCAAGTGTGGGGTGAGTTGATTTGCTCAGCTGATGGATTGATATATGTGGATGAAGCTCTGCAGGGTTTGTTTGTTTTGTTGGTCAGTCTCGTATCTCATAAATATGATGACAGTGGGTGTGTTTAATTAGAGGCAGAATGACTCAGAAACATTAAATAAAATGTAATTTTAGAACGTTTTTTTAATTGGGACGTACCACAATGACCCCAGTGTAGGTGGGAATGTGGCATACGTCCTTGTAAAAACAGAGTAGATTAAGTCTTTATTAGCTCCTCAGTAGGATCAGAGAGTTTAGCTTGTCATCTCGCAGTTATTCAGACACTTTGGCAGTCTTATCAGCAGATGTACAAATCAATGTTCCTTGCCCGTGCCTGTCGATCCCACAATCCTATTTGCATCGCCCAGCTTTCATCTCTTTTTTTAACCCTCTTGTTCCTTCACACTCTCTCGACTTGACAGTTTCCTGTCTGTCTCTCTCTCTCTCTCTCTCTCTCTCTCTCTCTCTCTCTCTCTCTCTCTCTCTCTCTCTCTCTCTCTCTCTCTCGCTCTCTCGCTTTTTCCACCAGTCTTTTATCACTATAACCCTGAAAGGCCACCGGATTATTCCACGTACTTTCCTGCTGTTAGAGCTCTGTTTAAGAAGGTTATCATGTATTCAAGGAAAGTATTGGAACCCTTGTTGTCTGCACCTGGGTGAAGGTACGGTGATGAATTAGATATGAATATTCACAGTCTGGTCCTGCCACTCTGTAATACCACAGTGTCACCAAATATTCATAAGCTCTGTGTAATTCTGGCCTTTTCTACTTGCCTTTGGCTTATCCTACACATCCCTCTTGCATAAACCAACGAGTCTCAATGAAGCCACAGTCGATACCAAAGCAGTCCTGCAATGCTCACGTCCATAAAGCCCTAAAAATATAGCATTTTTTTGCCGGTCGTCTAAATGTAGGCTACATACTTCCCTGTATACCTCTATTCATACAGTAGGCAAACAACAGATGACAGATTTTCGGCTGGAAATTTGAAGAATGCAACCAGTGTTCCTCATGGTTATATTTAAGGTTTATACTTTACTTTGGATGTGAACTAACTCTCATTAGAATATCCCTTTAACTGACTTCTCAACCAAACGGTTGAGCACATTTTGAGTCACTATATTTTATTGAGAGGAGTACCTAACTTAACTCAAACTGATTGAGCCATGTCTATCATCTGGTTGAGGTAGCCTATATTTTGACAAAAAATCCACTAGATTTCACAGCGTCAATCAACAGCCCATGTCACAACACTTCGTCTAACATGGATGTCAGAAACATATAAATCACCCCAGCCTCGTGAACTGTTTTTGGTGAAATTTGCAAGCTAAGCATATTTTTTTTAAATATTACACTCTAAGAGCCTTAACTTTACGAAATGATGTTTTTAACAATTTTTCAAAGACATGCTCAACCAAATGGTTGATTTGGCACATAACGGTTAACTGTCAACCCCCTTTTTTTGGGAATGGACATTACAATGCTCTATTTAAACTTGGTTGTAATTCAAGTATGCTTTGGAATTTTTGAAAGACCTGTTTAGTCTTGTTTTAAAGAGAACACTCTGCAGATTATTGCTGATGTAAAAACACTTAAAAAAATGAAAGTATGAAAAAGTTATGGAAGTTTTAAATTTACATTAAATCAAATATACTGTACTAAATATTTTTTTATTTTATATAAAATATATATTTTTCAAAATTACTATAAAATCAAAGCCATATTGAAGTTGATATCACATAAATTGAAGTTCTCATGAGATTTTGTTTAGGCGTAATACCAAAAATGACATAAATTCCTTTATAATTGATTTTTTAATCCTTTTCCTGAATTTAATTGAATGCATTCTGCTGTAACAAATTAATACATTTCTGTCCAAATATCACTTCTGTTATGGAACCTTGAGACTCAGACCTTTCTGACAATGTGTTTTGTCAAGACTAGAAAAGGTTTTGATCATAAATTATGATGGGCAATGAAAAAGTATGGCAAAGTATGTATATGAATTCCGGTACCATTTATTACCATTAATTGACATCTCAAGCATTTGGTAGAGGCCGATATTTAAAAAAAAATATGGGATGTGTTGGAAAAAAAATACATTTGAGTGTGATTACTAGTGACATAAGGAAATAAGAAATGCAAACAAAAAAATTTTCCATCACTTTTTTCTTGGTGCAGACTTCAAAGGTTTAAAAGTAGACAGTAGTAGACTGTTAGGTTACGTTTGGGTGTTACAGACTAGTTAACATGTAGTTGTCAAGTTACTTATAATTAGTATAATGTCTGTAAACCATTAAACAAAGTGTTACCTATTTAAGTTATTTAATAGCTTATAATTGTGTTTGTTGGTAAGTCATAAACCTGGGTCAAAGACAAGAGTGAAGTGGAAACTTTTTTTTATATTTACCCAGATTTGAAGCCTTGATTAATGTGAAGTACACTGTAAAAATGGATATGCTTTATCTAATCAAAAAAATTGTGGCAACAGATTACAAGCAAATTTATTAATTCAAATTGAGTAATAATTAATCAAATTAATTCCTTAAAAGTTAACCATTTAAAATGAGTAAAACTTACAACAACCAAAAAAAACATAAATTTAAGTCACCATTATGGTGATCGGTGTTTGTTTTAGGTTTTCTCCTTCAGTGATTCTGCTTGTTAACATCAGGTGTCTTCAATGTTGGCAATATAAAATAAAGACTTCTTAATTCATCTTTTACGTCTGTCTGTTAGTGAGATATTTCTGTTAAATCTTTTGGTGTAAACTTTACTCATTTTAAATGGTTAACTTTTAAGGAATAACTTGATTAATTATGACTCAATTCTAATTTGTTGAATTTAATTAATAATATTGCTTGTAATCTGTTGCCACAATTCTATTGATTAGATAAAGCATATTCCTTTTTACAGTGTACAATTTCAAAGGAATTATTGTTGTATCTCGCGCTTTGAGTTGTTTTTTTGTATATTTGTTTTAATGCAGTGCTTTAAAAAGCTAGCAAGTTGTCAAGAGTGCCTAATGAATATTAAATACTGTAGGTGGCTTGGCAGTCACCCAGTAGTCGTAACTGATTTGCTGAAAAGCTGCTTAGTTGTCAGCTTTGCTTATGCATATTAATTAGAAGGCGTAGCGTTCACCCAGTAGTCATAACTGATTTGCTAAAAAGCTGACAAGTATAGGTGCTAGTCCCATTAGCCAGGCAAAATGAAGCTCTTGAAATAGAAACTTAGACAATGTTAGAAATGTCTATAGACAGCTCATCAGAGGTAGATAGATGCCCCACTTCTTCCATCTGTCCACCTGAAGACGTGACACTGCAGCTCTTTGGACTAGCATTGGCCCTTGCGCTGAGAGGAAGGTGATTATGGGAGTCTGCGTTTGGTTGGAGTGAGATTCGGTTTGTTTCCTCTCATCCTCGGGGGCAGCTGGCAGTCGAGTCCACTCATCCATCCCTGTGCTGGTGGATAGGCAGCTCTTGTATACCGCTGGGAGTTGAACAAGCTGTTTGAGACCAGGGCTCTCTACTCTTGGTCCTGCTCTCCCATGCCTGAATCCTAAACCCGTCCACTTCTCGTGTTCATTTGGACTTGTGCCATGTCATTATGTGCTCGATTTACATGATCGGAGGGCCGCGGGGCTCGTGGAAAGACAGAAACCCTCTTATTGGATTAGTCTGTGGGCACTTTGCTACCCTGTCAAGTTAAAGCAAGGGGCAAAGAGAAGCTCA